GGCATGCTTATCTCTCTATTTGGCCGATTTCTACTCTTTCCGACCGCCTCCCAAAGCCTGGTAGAGGCTAGCCGGGCACCCGTCGGCAGGTGTCCGAGGAGCCTCCCAGACAGAAGGGGCTATCAGCAAACGGATCAGAAGGACTTTTACACATGAACCGGCTGGTGATCTAGACAAGCATGAGCAGACAGAACAACAGCTTTTTATTGTAGTATTGCCTTGATAATTTTGAACATCTACAAGCAATGTTGTGCAGACAGACTTTCAGTTTTAATGTGTTTTTAACAAATTGGTAAGCTTTCGTAATTGCAAAATATTTTTGCGGCTAAAACAAAGTTTGTTGATTTTCTTCCTGTTTGTGTGATTGTCCTAGTACATTACCTTTTAAAAATTAAGACTTTAACCTAGCTTTCTTGTTTTTGTACTTGTTATTATGTGAATGCTGCCCGAAGGAGGTCATATATGTATATGTGAATACATGTAAAAAGAATGCTGAATAAAATTTGCGTACCATTTGTCGTATATTACAGAATTTAAGAATGCTTTAAGGTGCTTATATGTAGCGTAAACATTACGATTTTTAAGCTTACTTTACAGTGCTTAAAAGTTGCTTAAATAAGTGCCATTAAGTACCTTTACGGATAAATTAAGCTAGCTTAAATCACTACATTTAAGGATCCTTTAAGACGCTTAAATGTAGTGTAAACATTAAGATTTAAGCTAACTTTACGGTGCTTAAATGTTGCTTAAAAGAGTGCCATTAAGCACTTTACGGATAAATTAAGCTAGCTTAAATCACTGTATTTACGGACACTTTAAGACGCTTAAATGTAGTGTAAACATTAAGATTTAAGCTAACTTTACGGTGCTTAAATGTTGCTTAAAAGAGTGCCATTAAGCACTTTACGGATAAATTAAGCTAGCTTAAATCAAGCTTAAATCACTGTATTTACGGACACTTTAAGACCCTTAAATGTAGCGTAAATATTGAGATTTAAGCTTACTTTACGGTGCTTAAATGTTGCTTAAAAGAGTGCCATTAAGCACTATACGCACAAACTTAAAGCTAGCTTAAAAGTAACATTTAAGCACGCGTAAAGATTGGCTTAAATTTGCTTAAAGAGTGCCAAAACGGAACCTTTAAGCATGCTTTAAGACTGCTTAAATACCTGATTTCGTGCAGTGAATGCCAATACTTAATACATTGTACATTGGAGAGGACCCACTAATGCCCATACCTAATACATTGTACATAAACTACAATTGCTTCATCCAACCTTAGCATAATATGTATTCTGCACTTACCTCGAATTTTGTGACAAAAACCAGATGTCCCTCGCTCTCTATATCCGTCGGTACCCTCTGGTGTGTCAGAGTTAGTTGCATGGTAGAAGCTTGACTCTTGCATGTGCTCTGGACGCACCTCTGTGGGCACTTCGAATGCGGTAGGCCACAGCCACTGGCCCAGACCCAGGGCGAAGATACTTTTACCAGCCGGATTCACGTACTTTCTGCCCGGTTCTTCATTTCTTCCGTCCGCTTGTTCGTCGCCCATGTCATGGTGAAGAGGCGAGGGTCCATCGGATGCACCTGGCCACAGCCAACGGCCCAGACCGAAGGCGAAGATGCTTCTACCGGCCTTTCTTTCCGATTCTTCACTTCTTCCCTCCACTCGATCCTCCTCCGTGTCTGCCATGCCATGGTGAAGAGACGAGGGTCTATCGGATGCACTAGGCATCAACCAACGGCCAAGACTAGGCGGCAACCAACGGCCCAGACCTAGTGGGAAGATGTTTTTACCGGCCTTTCTGTCCGCTTCTTCACTTCTTCCGTAAATTTCTTTCTCCCCTGTTTCTTCCATGTCGTGTTGAAGAGACGAGGAAGGGCGTGGGAACATTTCTGGAGGCAAGGGCGGCTCGACGTTCTCTTCGCTTTCCGTGTCAAGATGGTTAGATGGGGGATCGCTGGGCGAAGAACCTGGTACAAAGACCCTGTCTCCATGTGGATCGACGTCTTCGTACTCTCTTTCAGGCAAGGGAGGCGGAGCATCTGTACCATTATTGCTGCCATCCGGTCTTTCTTGTCCAGGAATCGATGCGTAGATGCTCTCCCCGTGTGGATCCGTGGCTTCGTATGTATTTGGCGGCATCGTGAACGGGCGCGGTCTTGGTGGTAGCGGTGGAGGGGCTCGGTCGCTGTTCGACTTTTCACTCCTTCCGTCCACCTTTTTCGTCTTCTTTTTCTTGTCTTCCATCTCTAGACTGTGAGGACGGCTTTCATTTGGCATAGAGCAAGGCTCCCCGTTGTCTACCACGCCGGTACGATGCTTTCCTGTGTAGTATATGTCAGTATTGTATATGTGTGGTTCCTCGTTGCTCTCCTGCCACACTACCATGTGGTCTCCTACGTCAAGATGGCGATAGGAGTACACACTTTCACGACTATCCTCCTCCTCCGGGCCGACTTGCTCCTCTTCCTCTTCTTCTTTCTTCCGTTTAGACGCTTTGTCTTTCTTGTCGGGCTTGCGAGGTGGTGGCAGGTCGGGCACAGCTCGTTTCAAGGCAGACTGCAATATCACATTCTCACCAACGGAGCCTTCATCCATGTCTTCATAGTTTGGGCCCGCTTCTTGGGCGAGTTCCTTCTTTTCTGTATGATGGCCAGGCGGGGGTTTCTTTTCTTTTTCTCCCGTATCAATAGGGCTAGACGGGGGTTTCTTGTCTTTTTCTGCCGTATCAATAGGGCTAGACGGGGGTTCACTGAGCGCAGAAATCGGTATGAAGACTCTGTACCCGTGGGGGTCTACGTCTTCGTAATCTCTTGGAGGAAAGGGTGGAGGAACACTAGTTGTACCATGTTCTTCATCATCCTGTGTGTCTTGCCCAGGAGTCGGGGCAAATATGCTCTCGCCGTGTGGGTCCACGTCTTCGTACGTGTTTGGCGGCACCGGACGCGCTCTTGGCGGTATGGGTGGCGGGACGCGGTCGCCGCTGCTCGAGTCTTCACTTCTTCCGCCCGCCTGTTCCTTCCTGCGAGGTGGGGGGACATCGGGCCTGGCGCGTTGTAACCCGGAACTCAGTACGACGTTTTGGTCGTTAAAATCCATGTCTTCATACTTTTTTTCCTTCTTGTTACTTACCTCCATCTTTCTCCTTTTGTAAAAGAAGAGATTGCTAACAGAATCTGAGATATGGTTATGCTCTGTCGTTGAAGAGATTCATTTGTCACGTATAGACACAGTTACTAAAGGATTCTTTCAGCAGTGACAAGTTTTTGAAGGGTATGGATACTAATCTTCAAATTTTTGATGACTATCAGTCCATCTTATGGTTATGCTCTAGGTCTGAGGGCAACTGAGACTCTGGCCATGGATAGAGCTGGTTGGAGAAACCAGACGGAAGGGAGCAAGGGGTCAGATCCTGGCCCGAGCACTTAGGCAGGGAGGTAGGCTAGTTCTGAGGCACTCTATGATGATCTTTTAATTTTGACTGAATCAGCGATTTCAGTGAGAATTCTAACAGTCAAGTACCTGAACTCGTGCCGATGCTTACAACGTCGTCACTCCATGACCATGTACTGTAGTCGGAGCCTGTTGGGAGACGCTGAGGGTGACCTGCGGCCAGAGGACATTGCCGACCTGGCGGCGGATCGACGGTCGTGGAGAAGACTGGTGGTCGACTGTTCCGCAGCTGGACGACGATGATGATGTAGTCGAAGTGGATCGCACAGAAGTTCGCGCAATGTGAAATGTAAGTCCAAGTGGCGATCGTGCCGTTTTTATAGAGATAATATCATACGTAGGCATACGCTGGACAGACCAATCTTGGACATGGGTCTTGGCTTGGCTTAGCTTAGCTTAGCTGGTGAAGATTTCAATGACCCTTTCCACTTTTTTTTCACTTTCTACTTTGAGGCCTAGGCTTATACCAAGCGACTGGATCTGATCAATGCATATGCATATCTACTTCAGATAGCACTGGTTTCCTGTGATTTCTTTTCAACAGGGATATACTTTTCTTCTTGTCGTTGTATCTGAAAAGCCGATGGCTTCCGCGGCTACTTGTCTATTGTGCTTTCATCACTTTGTTCAAGCTACTGCAAGCTACATGCCTTTGTTCTGCTTGTATCAAGTAGAATTGCTTTTGGCTGTATACCTTCGCCCACTCTGCCAAAAGATCGACAACTTCTCGGAGATCTGTGTCCTCTTGTGAACTCTTGTGACCTCCGGGGAAGGAGACATCCTTCCTCGGAAGGGTTCTATTTATCAGTGGCTGTTTGTGTGTTTGCAGCTGTAACTCCTGGACGGATTCCTTTGGGTCTTCGGTACATGATTTGCTATTGGGGTCCAGATGATGCGTATCGTTTTTTTTTAATTGTACATGTGATTTGAAGCGTCGAAATAAAATATTTGGACGGCCTCTGCACAGGTCGAGGTCTACCTTTTTTAAGGGTTGAACTTGTGGTATTTGGCGGTGATAAAGTTTTCAGAGTGCGCTAGTAGCAAAGGGTCATTGATCTGTTTGTTACGCCTGGCGTGTGAAGAAAGATGACGTTGGGGTCGTGTGGCCTAACGGCAGAGTGCTCAACTCGGAACCAAGAGGTCCCGGGTATCATTCATTCATTCATTCATTCATTCATTCATTCATTCATTCATTCATTCATTCATTCATTCATTCATTCATTCATTCATTCATTCATTCATTCATTCATTCATTCATTCATTCATTCATTCATTCATTCATTCATTCATTCATTTTGGGCCTTTTGCAAACATAGGGAAGAGGAAGCCAACATTGAAGGTCTCTCCATCGTCCTCTTGCTACAGGTTTCCCCCAAAGGAAAGGTCTTCCATACTGTTGAAAAAGGTGTCAGAGTAAGATACAAATTACAGTGTGTTGAAATATATGGTCAGAGAGGAGTCTTAATCACTCCTGCTATAAAATTGCAACATAATGTTACCAATAATAGTTACCAATACGTAACCATGGCGACAGACATCTGGTTCAGGTCATTGATCTTATTACGTTGGAGAAGAAGAAGAAGAGCAAAAACAAAATGTTTACCTTCGTTAAACATAATAAATGTCCCCCCTAAGGCAATTTGCAGTTCTGAAAAATATGTACCTGATAAAAAAAATCACACAACACCCGTGCTGTATGAAATGAGTGCTTCGATACAGTAATCAAATTCAGTTGTTTTGTATGAGCATTATAGTTAAGATTGGTCTGTAAAGTGTTGTATAATAAATGATGTGACCCCTACAGCATGGCAAAACCGCTCAGGTGTTTGAAGTCTTGCTTTCTATTGCTTTTCGTACAGTAATTGTTTTATATACATTTGCATGATTCTATACGCAATCCACTGAAACTACTGTACATACTATACTGTAATAAGAGCGCTGCTTGTCTACATGGGTGCGGACTAATCATTGATATCAGGATTTAAAAATTTAAGGTAGAGTGGCTAGCGACTAGGATAAAATCAAATCACAGATTCTGTCAGTTTTCTGTCAGTCTTTTTTTATCATATCAAGTTTCAAAAAGACGAAATGGAGGTAAATGACGGGAAAGAAATGCCGGAAAGAAAGTATGAAGGCATGGATCGGGACGGTGAGAGTATTGTTGTATTAAGTTCTGGGTTGCAACGCCCTGTGTCCGAGGAACCACCACCTTTGCCACCAAGAAAGTACGAAGACGTGACTTTGCATGGCGACAAAGATGTTGTATTGAGTTCTGGACTGCAACGCGCCACACCCAATGTGCCACCACTGCGCCCTCTTGACATGGGAGACAAAGAGAAGGAACAAATGGATGAAGGGAACGAAGAATCGAAAAGGAAGTATGAAGAGGAAGATGATAAAAGTATCTTCGTATCTCGTTCTGAGTTGCAACGTTCTGCGCTCAATGAACCCAAGTCTAACCATCCTACTAAAAATGGGGTACGTGATGTAAGGCTATCAGCAAAAAAACAGTCCAAAAAAGATGCGGATGACAGGAATGTCAAGCCGCCATTGCCACGAAGCAAGTTGCAACCAACTGCGCCCAATAAACCCCCACTAGTACTTTGTCGTGTTGACATGGGAGATCTAGTAAAGAAAACACAGAAAAGTGTGCTGTACCAAGGTGTGGATAATGAACCCTGCATTGTAGATGTGAAGCTGGGCTCTGGCCTGAAGCGCACTGTGCTCAATGAACCGCCACCATTGCCAGCAAGAAAGTACGAAGACACGGATCCGCATGGAGACTTTGTTCTGTGGTCTGAGTCACAACGTGCAAAGTGCCACGAACCCCCACCTTACCATCTTGACAGTGGAGACAAAGAGAGTGAAGAAGTGGATGGAATGAAGGAAGACTCGGACAGAGAATATGAAGACGTGGATTCGGCTGGCGAAAGTATTTTCGGACTGAGCCAGGGGTTACGACGCCCTGTACCTAATGAACTCCCGGCTAGGCGTCCAGAGAACAAGCAAGAGTCAAGCACCGATAAAGAATCGGACAGAAAGTATGAAGACGTGGGTTCGGCAGGCGAAAGTATTTTTGTACTGAGCCAGGGGTTACGGCGCCCTGTACCCTATGAGCTCCCGGCTAGGCGTCCAGAGAACAAGCAAGAGTCAAGCACCGATAAAGAATCGGACAGAAAGTATGAAGACGTGGATTCGGCAGGCGAAAGTATTTTTGGACTGAGCCATGGGTTAAGACGCCCTGCACCCTATGAACTCCCGACTGGGCGTCCAGAGAACAAGCAAGAGTCAAGCACCTATGAAGACCGGGACGCACCTGGCTTTTGTCACAAAGTGAGAGGTACGTGCACATATATCTTATCCATAACAATCAGTCATTTGGTCTCTGCACAAATGCTCCCTGTAGATTCATTCGCTTTTTTTCTTGCTAATCTGCTTTAAGCCATTCATGAATTGCTCAAGGACACAACTGCAGGCCTTGCCAATTATTATGGATTTTACTCGAATCCTTCTAGGATTAGCCTGGGTACCAAACCCATAGCACACTGGACACAGCTCACTGAGATACTTTGTGTCCAGTGTGCTATGGGTTTGGTACCCAGGCTATCTAGGATAAGATTGCAATCAAAATTTCTTCTATATGTTATCATCATCATGGTGTTTAGTTTGTGAAACTCCCGTCTATTTTTTATCATAATCATGGTGTTAATCATGGTGTTAAGTGAAATGTACATCTACCTAAAGCTGCATTTAACAAGCATGCTACACATTTTAAGCAAAGTTATGGCGTCGATTTTGTATCCCTCTGAGGCATTTTACTTTTTAATTTACCGGTATATCATATTCAAAGCTAACACATATTTGCATGTATAGGTTTGTACAAATTTATGATATGGGATATATCCTATTTTATATAACACCCTAGATGCCTAAACGCCAGAATTTACACCAATAATTAAAAGCACATTCTCATTGCTTACTACAGTCTTTTATAAGGTAAATCATTCTCATAGGTATGGTTGCTGTTATGCACGAGACGATGCTATACAGCATACCTAAATGTCCAAGTGATGACGATTGGTTTATTGGAAGAAACTCAACACAATCTGACATAGCAGTCAAAAGACTGAATTAGCGTCAGACTTTACAAAAGTTAAATTAGATAAATTAAATGGATAAAATCTCATCACAGCTTAAATTAAGATAAAATATTTTACAGTTCGCTCAGTCCTCATATACGGAAATAAATAAAATCTGCTACCACATATTAAAACTCTACAGTTCATTCAATAATTAAGTCATGCCGAGGATAGCACTGGTTAGGTAACGCTTATATATAAATTTTGCTTATGTTATATATATATAATTGTCGTGCAATAAAGTTTATGTATGTATTAAATCCTAGATAGAGCAATGGGACTATGGAAGAAGTGGAAATCTACCAGTCTATTTTGGCTTGTACTGGTCGCCGGAGTGCTGGTGACTGCGTTAGTGATTAGTATTGCTATCATGGCACCTAGTTTCATAGCCGTGGGGAAGGTAGGTATCATATGGCATTATTTTCTTACCATTCTTTTAAAATGCTTTTCTCGCTTATTTGTTTTGTCTTTAAGAACTTTTTTTCTGGTGAGGGTACTACCATAAGCCATAGGCTACACTCTGTCTTTCAACTTTAAATGCGGCAATAAAAAGGTAGGCCATGTAACATCCATGATCATCTATACTAGAGACCTGGCTACGGGTGGATCTCTCAAGCACTTGATTTTGGCACTCCCAGCCCCAAGGACAGACAGCACTTAAGCTCCTGTTCTGTATAACAGTAGCTTTCTGACTAACTTGCATCATCTTGTCTTGACTTGTCTGACTTTTGCTCCCTTTTGGACTTCCAAAAATTGTCTTCTCTTTAATTGCATATCAATCAATAGTTTGTGCTTATAAACCTGCATTTCTGTTATGGTCTCTGAGTCACTGACGAAAGGTAGTGGATACTACCTGAGTCGTCTGACCGTTTCTAAAATCATATCCAGTTGCTTGAGTAACTGCTTTTTAGCGTATATTAGACACTATCTACTTGCATCACTGATTTCTGTGATTTAATTTCAAAGAACCAAGATGGTGTAATCGGAGCTTTCCCGACGGAGCCGGGTTTTCCCTGGACGTCGGTACCCGATAAGAAAAGCAGTTTTCCTGCTTCTTATTCAACTTCTCCCGTGTCTTCATCGAAGGACATACAAACCACACCAATGGCCCTCCCAGCAACCACTGGTGAATCTTGTCTTGTCTGACTTTTGTTCCATTTTGGAACAATAGTTATATTTAATAACTATTTGGAGCCTTATTTCATTTAACAATGTTTTGAGTTTTATCGTTTGCATCTCTGGTAATAAACTTATCACAATTGCTAATGGTCTTTGTTGATCCCACAGACATCAATGAGTGTGCCGACAAGCCATGCCAGCATGGAACCTGTGTGAACAGAGATGGTGGCTACAAATGTATCTGCTCAGTTGGATGGACTGGACAGAACTGCCAGCAAGGTGAGTTCTGTCTAGCCAATATTTCCTCATATTGTTGTGTTTCTCTCTCTCTCTCTCTTTCTCTCTCTCTCTCTTTCTCTCTATGTCCTTGATCCTTGAATTTGTTTTTTATGCGGTTAATGTTATATTTATTTCTTTTTCCCCACAGCCATCAATGAGTGCACAAGAAAGTCATGTCAACATGGAACCTGTGCGAACAAAGCCGGTGGATATAAATGTACCTGCTCACCCGGATGGACTGGACAGAACTGTCAGCAAGGTGAGTTTGCCGAATAGTCAACGTTTCCTCATAATGTGTTTCTCTCTTTCTCTCCCTTCCTTTTTTCTTTATGTCATTTAAACTTTTTGAGCTTAATATAGAATTCAAATTTATCCCACAGACATTAATGCGTGTACTGACAAATCCTGCCAACATGGAACCTGTGTGAACAAAGATGGTGGATACAAATGTACATGCTCACCTGGATGGACTGGGCAAAACTGTCGGCAAGGTGAGTTTATGAAGTAGTTATGAAAAGATAATCATCTCCATTTTGGAATGTTCCTATTTCCTGACATCTTTCTTTCTGTCTTTGCCATTCATTTTTGCTGATTGATCGTTGATTTATGTTTGAAATCAAATATATTTTTGTATTACACAGATATCAATGAGTGCATCAGAAACCCATGTCAACATGGACGCTGTTTGAACAAAAATGGCGGATACAAATGTACCTGCTCATTTGGATGGACTGGACAGAACTGCCAGCAAGGTGAGTTCCTTTTGTAGCTACCTTTCAACATAGTTTTTTTAATCATCTATAATACATTTTGTACTTGATTTTTCTAGTTTCCATCCACCATTCCTTTTGTTTTCTTTCTCTGTTAATGATGGATATTATATCTATCAATGTATCATACATTAGGTAATTCTTTTTCATTCACACAGACATCGATGAGTGCATCAGAAACCCATGCCAACATGGAACCTGTATGAACCAAGATGGCGGATACAAATGTAACTGCTTACCTGGATGGACTGGACAGAACTGTCAGATGAGGAGTGGACAAGATTGGCGACAAGGTGATTTTCACTTATTTGTTACTGACTCAAAATCATTCTGTGTATTTTTTCTACTAGGAAAACATGTTTGATTCTTCATTTTTTACTAATTGCAAGCATCGATGCCTGTTTGGTGTTAGCTCACTACTGTTTAGTCAGCCCGGCATTGTCACAGTGGGGGTGGGAATACAGTAAACACTGTTACAGGTCTGCGAGTAACAAAGCCAGCTGCTCTACAGAAGCCTGCTAGTATAATTTCGGTTTTAGCCTATTGCATTTACTGTTTAAAAGTTACAACTTGTTATTGCCAGAGTTTGAGGATGGAATTCAATAATCACTTCTACATCTTTGACAGTGTGAGAGTCAAAGTCTTGATCAGTTTTTATCTAGAGCATCCCATCTGCCGGTATCGTTACTCATTAGGTTTTAGCTCACTTAATTTTTGTACACTGTTTAGATGATACAGCGGGACATTGCCAGAGATGGTGGTTGGCATACAACAACCACTGCTACATGGTGGGGAGAGAACCTGTCACCTGGTTCACAGCGAACAGCCGATGCGGACAAGTTGGCGCACATGTGGCTTCTATTCAGGACAGTGAAGAGAACGACTTTATTGCAGATATCATCCAAAATGGTGGGTAATAAGATATAACCTGTGTTAAACAATCTCTCGCTGTTAGGGGCTGTTTTCAGTGATGACATCCTTGATGATTCCCTGAATAGGTTTAAATTTCTGATTGCCTGGTCTCCTCACGGAGAGTTTGTTTCCGTTTACTTCTAACTTTGGAGAACTCTATGTATAGATTTGATGCAAAGTAAATCACCTAAACCAACAAGCTTTCAATCAGACCTCTGTTACTAGCCCAAACTGATGGGGTGGGGGGTGGATAAACCTCCGTCAGCGAGAGATTGTGTAACACAGGCTGATACGAAATGTTAATTGGGCACATTGAAGCTGTTCCTGGCCTATAAGGCATTTTCCTTCTGTGATTTTACTGGTATTTCAAATCCAAACACATATTTGTACATAACGTTTTGTATATAACTAGGATATATAATATATACTATTATATATGATATCTTACATTCCAAATTACACAAAGATTAAGATTGTGATAACATTGTGTAACACAGGCTGATGCGAAATGTTGGGTACCTTGTAACCTGTTTCTGCCAATGCCATTCAGGACACAGGACATAGATTTGGGTAATTTCAACTTGAAGATCAGTGACTATACAGAATGTACATGGTGTGCGGAAATAGTGCTATGAATCTAAAAGCATCAAAATGATTTTCTGCAATTGCAGCGAAAGGAATACTACGATATCATGTCTGGAGTGGACTGAGACGTGGAGAGGATGGACAGTTTCAGTGGACGGATGGGTCACCATTGTCCTACACTAACTGGGCTGAATGTGAACCCGACAATAATGGCCTTCTTACATTTGGCAAGGGAGAGAAATGTGTTTCCGTTATCTCCAAGGTATGTTTTGCTAGGGCAAGGAGACAAAGATTAATTTTTTGTTTTATGACTCTTCAAGTTAGAAAAAAAATAATTTTCCTCATTTTTCTTCTCCTCCTCTTTCTTGTGAGCAAATGTCAATTTTTCTACTTTTCGTTAAATTTTTTCCAAATCCGTGAATCAACAAATTAAACTAGTGCCTGTTGTTTTTCATCCCTGTAATATAATTGAAATAAACTGATTACGATGCATTGTTGACTGGTTTGTATGTCCGTGAATAGTTTCCCTGAATGAAGAATCTTTTACACTACCAAGAGTTTTCTTCAGTGACACTAGAGACTGGAGGAGAAATGCAGGTTTATCAGCAGGAACTCTATAGTTTTCTCCTGCAGTATCTAGTATAACTGACGAAAGGTAGTGGATGCTACCTGAAACGTCTGACCGTTTCCAAAAGCATATCCAGTTGCTTGAGTAACTGTTTTCTGGCATACATTATCTATTAAGCTTCCCTTATTCCGCATGTACCAGTATTAGGTACGCATTAGTATTGTTGAGTATCATTACAGAAAATGGCACCAAGAAGATTGTGTTTTCAACACACTGTAATTTGTATCTTGTTCACCTTTTCCAACAGACTGGGCAAGCTTTCTTTTGGCAGAAAGTTAGAGAAAGAGGACAATGGAGAGACCAGCAATGTTGGCTTCCTCTTCCCTATGTTTGCAAAAGGCCCAAACAACAAGAGACCGACATCACGCACCAACAACCAACCTTGTATGAATGAATGAATGAACGAAAAAATGAATGAATGTTTATGTCTTGCGACTATACGCCACCCAGCCCAAATAGGCTTATAAGGCACCAACAAAAGACAAATATCATAATACAAAACGGTATATGGAAACAAAAAAGACAAGGGTAAGACACGATTAAGACACACCATTGATTTGTTTTGGACACGTTCATGTAAAATAGCAAAACAAAACAAAACAAAACAAAAAACAACAACAGAGAACTGGGGCAAAACATGCATCTGACTTGGGTGGCTGCATTTGCCAAATGGATAATGTCCCAAATGATCTGCTTGGAGATAAACTTTCCTGTATAATATTACAATCTAACATTATTCAATGATCCAAGAAATCAATACAATGTGACAGCAGTAAGCTGGAAGAAATGGCACTTGCTTAAGACACTAAACAAATCTAGTTGCATGGAAGAAAAATATTACCTTTCTAATTATTATCAACTCCTTATAAGGAGCCATAGTAAGCTTAAAAATTTACACTTGCCTAAAAGGCTAAGACACTGAACAAATCTAGTTGCAAGGAGCAAAATATGATTTTGTACCTTCCACTCCTCCACTCCTCCATGCTCCATATTTATTTTTTTGCAACAGTCGTAGGTCTGCTCTAAACCATTGTAAAATGTGAAGGTTTTCAGTACCATTTAATTTCACCGACAATCCAGACACTATAAGGTAATCTGTAGTGCTCAGAAATATGTATATTCATGTTGTTTTGTATGAGCATTATATTCAAAATTGGTCTGTTGGTAACGTAGGTGTAATATTATGTATGATGTCAATCCTACGCCACAAACACCGCATAAACACACCTAATAATATTTATTTGAATGAACCTATATTCAATCCACTTTAATATCTACTCTCCATGGAATAACAACGCCGTTCACCTGCATGGGTGCGAGTTAAGGTATTCTTTGTCAAAAACTGTAATCATTATTATCAAGCTTGAAAAAATTAAGGTAGAGTGACTACCGACTAGAACAAAATCATTTATTATCATTTCCAACAAGAAGAAATGGAGGTTAATGACGCGAAGGAAACGTCGGAAAGAAAGTATGAAGACATGGATTCGGACAGCCAGAGTATTATTGTATTAGGTTCTGGGTTGCAACGCCCTGTGTCCGAGGAACCACCGCCTTTGCCACCAAGAAACTACGAAGACGTAACTTTGCAAGGCGACGGAGGTGTTGTACTGAGTTCTGGACTGCAACGCGCCAAACGCAATTTGCCCCCACCGCGCCATCTTGACATGGGAGACAAAGAGAAGGAACAAATGGATGGAGGGAAGGAAGAATCGAAAAGGAAGTATGAAGAGCAAGATGATGAAAGTATCTTCGTATCTCGTTCTGAGTTGCTACGTTCTGCGCTCAATGAACCCACGTCTATCCATTGTACTAAAAAGCAGGTACATGATTTTAGGCTATCAGCAAAAAAACATTCCAAAAAAGATGCGGATGACAGGAATGTCAAGCCGCCATTGCCACGAAGCAAGTTGCAACCAACTGCGCCCAATAAACCCCCACTCGTACCTTGTCGTGTTGACATGGGAGATCTAGTAGAGAACGCACAGGAGAGCGTGCTGTACCAAAAGTATGAAGGTGTGGATCTGAAGTCCGGTAGAGTACATGTAGGTGTAAAACTGGGCTCTGGCTTAAAACGTACTGTGCTCAATGAACCCCCGCCATTACCAGCAAGAAAGTACGAAGACACGGATCCGCATGGTGACACAGTTTTAGTTTTGAGCTCTGAAACCCGACCTAAACATCTTTACAGTGAAAACAAAGAGAAGGAAGAAGTGGACGGAACGTATAAGGTATTAGGTTCTGGGTTGCAATGCCCTGTGTCCGGGGAACCGCCGCCTTTGCCACCAAGAAACTACGAAGATGTGGATTCGCATGGGGCCAGTATCATTGTACTGTGTTCTGGACTGCAACGTGCTACGCCCAATGTACCCCTACCTCGCCATCTTGACATGGGAGACAAAGAGAAGGAAGAAGTGGAGGGAAGGAATGAAGAATCGGACAGAAAGTATGAACACGTGGATTCGGCTGGCGAAAGTATTTTTGTACTGAGCCAGGGGTTACGGCGCCCTGTACCCAATAAACTTTCGGCTAGGCGTCCAGAGAACAAGCAAGAGTCAAGCACCGATAAAGAATCGGACAGAAAGTATGAAGACGTGGATTCGGCAGGCGAAAGTATTTTTGTACTGAGCCAGGGGTTACGACGCCCTGTACCCTATGAGCTCCCGGCTAGGCGTCCAGAGAACAAGCAAGAGTCAAGCACCGATCCTACACCTGACACACCAGAGGATACTAACGGAGATGAAGAACAAGACGCACCTAGTTTTTGTCAGAAAGTTCGAGGTACGTGCAGACATCTTAGTTCCGTGCATATAATTCTACATATTCTACATATTAACTGGAATTCATTTGCTTTGTTTCTTGCTAACCTTACGTAATCCATTAATGGGGTCGTGTGACGTAGCGGCAGTGTGCTCGACTCGGAACCAAGAGTTCCCGGGTTCGAGTCCTGACATGGCACCGATCTTGTGCCCTTGGTAAAGGCACTTTACACGACCTTTTCTCACCTCGCTCAGTATTGCATTGTCCCCTGTGTTGGTGATGGCATTAATATAAGTTGAAAAACTTGAGTGTGTCCCCACCACGTCTTGTGATTGCATGTTGGAATGAAAAAAAATCAAATCAAGAATTGCTCAAGAACACAAGCTTTGCCAATTATAATTCTGGATTTTAAATAGAAACCTTCTGAAATAAGATTGTAATCAAGGTTTTGATATTTGTTATCATGGAATATTCAGGTGTGAAATACACTTGTACACAGAGCTGCATTTTACACACGATATTTCCTTAGTAAACCACAAGTACTAATATGTGATTGTTAGCAACTAAACAGTAAATGTTTACTGACTCCTTTCTATAACTTGATAGCAAATTGCTACCAAAGCAGTTTAATCATCTCGAATCTAATGCCATAATTCTTCTTACTAATTTCTATTGATGTTACTGTCTTGATAATGGCATGCTCAAGGGGAATTACTTAGACAGTAAGATCAGACAAATTTCATCGTCGCCTGTCAACTTAAAGATATTATTCATCTACTGAAAGTTGATCCCATGCCCTATCTGATACGGCATAATACTCAGAAAATACTTTGCATCTACTCATGGCAAAAGCATATTCTCATTCCTTAAACTACGAAGTCGTCTGTAAGGTATATTAGTCTTATAGTATGATTGTTGGTATAGAGCAGCAGAGACTTTCTCATACCATATGGTGGAATACAAATTATGTTTGTATCAAATCCTAGATAGAGCCATTGAACTGTTGAGGAAGGGAATCTCTAGCAGTATGTTTTGGCCTGTTCTGCTCTGCATATTCCTGGTGACTGCGTCAGTTATCACTGCTACTATCCTGTTACCTCGTATCAAAGCTGCATGGCAGGTAGGTCATTGCTGTCTTGCGCCAAAAAGCAGTTACTCAAGTATTTTCTCTTGTGCTTATAAACCTGCATTTCTCCTCTGGTCTCTCAGTCACTGACGAAAGCTAGTGGATACTAGCTGAAACGTCTGACCGTTTCCAAAATCATATCCAGTTGCTTGAGTAACTGTTTTTTGGCGTATCGTATTACCTGGATGTCTAACCTTCATCGACATTACTGTCTTGCTTTGGTTGTTTGTCCCAATGTAGCTTTGTATTGTCAGGGTTAGGGTTAGGGTTAGGGCTGGCACGAACATAAGCTATGGATTTGAGTCTAATAACCTTTTGTCTTGAAATCTGAACTTGAAATTAAATGAAAAAGCCGATGTCAGGGATCAAAATTCGTTATTTTACTGCATACTGGGTAACAAGCTGGTACATGTGATATTTAAAGTCACCTGCTTTAGATGCGCAATTTACTTACTTGTACCTGTCCTTTTCAAAGGACCAAGATGGTATAGTGGTGAGCGGAGCACACCCAAAGAATCCGGTTTCTTCTTTGACACCCGACAAGGGAAGCAGTTCTGCCGTTTCTTACTCGACTTCCCCCGTGTCTCCATCGAATGCCATACCAACCACAACAATGCCCCTCCCATCAACCACTGGTAACTTATGCATGGTTTTTTGATACCTGATAATATGCAATACCTATCTGTGTGTCATAACCTATTCTGATCCTATCGTGATTTCATTTGACATTGTTTACAGTTTTATTTATACATCCCTGACAATAAACTGGTCATAAATGGATATTTATTTATTCCGCAGACATCGGTGAGTGTACCAGCAAACCCTGCCAACATGGAACCTGTGTGAACAAAGATGGCGAATACAAATGTACCTGCTCATCAGGATGGACTGGACAGAACTGTCAGCAAGGTGAGTTTTGTCTAGTTATGAAGAACAATCAAAACTGTTCCTATTTCATGACGCGTTTTCCTCACTCTCTCTTGTGACCTTGTCAATGATTTGTTCTTGATTAACATTTAATGTAACATTTATGTCTTTACCCCATAGCCAAAGACATCAATAAGTGTATCGGGAAACCATGCCAACGTGGAACCTGTGTGAACAAAGATGTTGGATACAAATGTACCTGCTCACCTGGATGGACTGGACAGAACTGTCAGCAAGGTGATTACTGCACAAATATATTATTTTGAGAGGCTAATTTTGAAGCAGAATCTTTTATTTCCTGCCATCTTTCTTTCTCTCTCTCTCTCCTTTGATAATTGTTAATTGTTTTAACACAAAATCAAATTTATTTCTTTGTTCTACAGACATGAACGAGTGCATCACCAAACCCTGCCAACATGGACGCTGTGTGAACAAAGATGGTGGATACAAATGTACCTGCTCACCTGGATGGACTGGGCAGAACTGTCAGCGAGGTTGGTCTTTTTCTGTAGCCGCCATTTACTTTGTTTCAATACATGAATTTTCCTATTTGCATTCATTATCAATTTGCCTTTCCCTTTCATAAGGAATATATGTTTACATGATGCATTTGTATTTCTTTCTCCATCACTCAGACATCAATGAGTGCTACAGCAGACCATGCCAACGTGGGGGACGCTGTGTGAACAAAGATGGCGGATACAGTTGCGCCTTCTCACCTGGATGGACTAGACAGAACTACCGGCCTGGCTGGACTGGACAACATGGTCAACAAGGTGAATGTTTCATGTGATTTAATAATGACCAAATCATAAAATAATAAAAACATACACCCCTCTGTTGCTAATTGCAATCATCAATGTCTGTTTAGTGTTAGATCACTATACATGTACTTACTTAAGAACTTACCTGTGTGTGAAAAAACTTGTAGATATTGCATGTCAAACGAGGGGTGGAAGACGAAACGCATTCTATTTCAAACTGCTCCCTCCTTCTAAGACCTCGAAAGAAAGGACCTGTTTGAAGTTCTCCACGTTTACAGATAAAAGAAAACTACTCTCCTCTTAACATCACAAAACACACAAATTTTAACAAAGTGGGATCATTCGTCTTCCACTGTCTTGGTAAACCCAATAAATTGGGATAAATTAGAATTTAGTGTTTAGTAGTAAGAGTATTTGTATATTACTGTATTGATATCCACCCTGTTGTCCATCTTTTTATTTTCATGTTACATGTACTTGCAATTAGCCTACGGGCATTAAAAACTTTCACTATACTTACTGTTTGTTCCAGGCGATTATGTTCTATGCCAGAATGGATGGTGGAAATTCAAGAACCACTGCTACATGCTGATGAAAAAGAAAACCAGTTGGGATCAAGCCAAGTCAGCTTGTGAACGACTTGGTTCAAATCTGACTTCTATCATAGACAGTGAAGAGAACCACTTCATTGCTGATATCATCCGTAATGGTGGGTAGCAGTGACGTAACCTATGTTATACAATCTCTCGTTAGCATGGAAGTTCATAAATTGAGTTGGTAAATTACATAATGAAAAATTTAAACTGTTCTCCATCTCAAAAATTTCCCTCACCGGAATTTTCGACTGATTCAGTCGAAAATTCCGATAAGTGAAATTTATGAGTTGGAGAACAGTTTAAATTTTTCATAATATACTCATGTTTTGCATACTGCATGTTCTCTTGTGCATTTAGCCCATCTGGGCAAGAAAATGCAATAATGATTCATATCACATCATAACACAATCTCTCATTATTAGGGACTGATCATAATCTGCCTGGTATCCTTAGTAGAGAACATGCTTCCATTTACTTTTGAGAGCTACATGCATTTTCGTAGATTTCATATTGGGAGAAAAGATGTTGTTCTCGCCCTGTACTTTTAACACGTAACCTTGAAGTACTTTTCAAGTCTTGAGTAAAACATTTTCAAAATATAAACCTTTATAAAGTCTGAGCATACTCATTATTACACAGCTATATCTCTCTGCTAAGCGATTTAACAACTAATTTATACTTCTGTATTCATTTATAATATCTTAATAGCTTAACTCTGTTCTCTTGATACCTGGACGATGCCCATGTTTGTAATTTTTTATTTTATGTCTAGTGGTGACGTGAATATAAACATATTGCTTGAGTGCGTCACCACTATGTATTGTATTTTTTGCATGTTGAAATAAAAAAAAGCTGACGATTCTTCTCTTTAATTTCAGTTAGAGGGCTTCTACAATACCAAGTCTGGTTTGGACTGAAACGTGGAAAGGATGGGCAGTTTCAGTGGACGGATGGGTCACCATTGTTCTACACAAACTGGGCACCAACAGAACCTGACAATCGTAACAACTTCCTTTCATTTGGCCAGGGACAGGGATGCGCTACTGTTGTCTCCAAGGTATGTTTTACTTAAGGTCTCACGTAGGGCCCCCCACGAAGCCCATGTTTGCACTTGACCTTGGTCTCCCAACAGTAACCTGCCTGCCAAAATCATAAACAGTGATCCATGCCTTCAAAAGTTATGCCGCTATATTCACAGTCTCCCACACTAAAGCAGACTGATTTTATATCCTTCTCACGAAGGCAATGACATAAGGAAGGATATGTTATAAGCATCAGCACTTACTAATTGTTACTCTATATTCCACCTTCTCCAACAGACAGGAAAACCATTCCCCTGGCTGGCACTTCACAGAAGAGGACAATGGAAAGACCAGCAATGTTGGATTTCTCTTGCCTTTGTTTGCAAAATGCCAAATGACAGTGCATGATTTAACATCTGTCAATGTATCATAACACACTGGTACGACACACTGTCCTGGTTTGCCTGTTAAAATTTTCAAAATTTTAGGAGAATGACATAATGAAAACGGGGAAGTAGAAGTTGCATCTGCCTCTGTTCACTGCCTAAAACTGTGTGCACCTACATGAAGGTACAGACTTGCCCTGAGTCTATTTTCATGTTTAATAATCCTACATGTATGTACATAGAAAAGCTGAAAATGAGCACCAAGTAATGTTTGTGTTCGTGTGTGTGTGTGTGTGTGTGTGTGTGTGTGTGTGTATGTGTGTGAGAGAGAAAGAGAGAGAGCAAATTTAGCAAATTGTAAAATAACAACGTTATATAACCAGAGATTGACAGAATTATTGCATTTTAAACACTATTGGGATTAATATTACACTCGAATAGCTGACTTATCACACTTGTTTGATTTTACACATTTCAAAAGGACCTTGAAATATTATTACATGACTTAATGTCAGTTGACAACATAAATGGTAAAACGTTAAAAAATCTTTAGAGCTTGAAATATGGACAATTACAAATAGATGGTCACTTCTTGTAGGAAAATGCCAATGAATGCCTATCTTATGTAATGCAGTAATGCCGCTTTGTAAGATATTTACTATATTCTGAAAATTATCTTTTTGTTTCACAATAACAATGGAGAGTTTAACGGAACAGCTCTTACCACCTTTAGAAAGCAAGAACAACAAAATTTTAGGCTGATTGTTTTATTGAGATTTTAAAATCATGTAGCTTTAAACGTTTGTAGAGGCCTCTTGCCTCTGACAGGGGTTTTGAATTGTACTATCAGTGTCATTGACAAACCTAAATTACTGTTATAGTTGCGATTGGAATCTATTGTGAAGTAGCAAAATAATAAGACCATATTACAACATTCAATTGGAATCTATTGTACCAACATACATTGGTATAGGGCAATGAACAAATAAGTCAACATTAAGGCAATGTAATGTGAATTATCAGAAGAAAAGTGATTATATCACATTAATACAGTAGCCATATCCAGTGAAGTAAAATAAAAGTAAGTGGTGCTTCAAATGTGCCTTTAGTTGTTATCTTGCCATTTCTGGTAGAACAGGCACCTTGTCAGTGTGTGAATACTGAAAGATTTAATTTTAGCAGCAACTTAAAGCATACTGGAATACAAATAAAATCGACCTTATTGCTTAACAGCTGTAATGGTACAATGTATGGCAAAGACGAAACAACAAGGATACATGAACCATACTAAAATACATTTCTAAAATAACAGAGCTACTACTTTTAGTAGAAATTACAAGTTTACCAAAACTAATCTATTGCATGTTTTCCTGAGGAGAGTATTATTACATTCTATGATTCAGGAAATGCGTCAGTTATTAACAATATGGTGTCAGTTTTGTAGTGATTTGAATATGAATTTTCCAACGTGCACTGATGTCTGAGTAGGCCACGAAAGGAGCATACCGAAGACATCTGATACATGGTGATGTATTTAAGATTTATCTGTGGATTGATCTGATATGATTACTTTGCGTTTGAAAATTGCTTAATTTTGTATCAGATTCATCATCATGTATAACTAACTTAAGAATCTTTATCTTCAATATAAAAGGTGGCAAACCAATGATATTGCTTCTGGTCATTTGTTTGTAATGTCTAGACTATACATAAGTCTTTCTAGTTCCATATTGAAGGTGTGAATCAATCCTGTAGTCCTTACACTCGCTGATATCGACAAGACCATTTTAAAATCAATTTTGAGACATGGAAGTTTTAAAAAACCCATTTGTTTCATTTCTCTTTTCAAATATCAATACGGTCATGTATGTGTCCAGTAAAACCTATTGGGGTAGTTTCATGTGTAAAGATAACAATCAAAATTTGCTAGCAGCATTGAGCCCTTTAAAATCAGTTGTATTTAGCAAGAGAAATGTAAGCTATGTAAATCATCAAATTCTAGACCAAACCTTAACAAAGTGAAATTTTCAACCGGGCAGCATGGGGAAAATATACAAATAACAGTAGCTACAGTAGCTACAATGTTGTCTTTGTAGCAAAATTGTTTGCCTACACTCTAGAGCCAATATAAATGATGCATAAAGCCATATAAACAAAAAGATGAAAAATAAAATGAAATAAAATATAAACAAAAAGATGAAAAAATCAACAAGTGGTATCTGGCATCATGCAGTTCGTGGTGATGTTCAGTTCGGTTTGAATCCAAGTCTTCTACATTAGCTGTATACAATGGTGTTTCTTTTTGTAGCAAAATTGTCTGCCTCGAGCCGTTACATAATGCATGTACGTCAGCATTGAGCTATGCCCAAATATGGTCACACTCCAATCATGGAAACACACACTGCTATAGTACATTGCCTATAACACAGCCAAAAAATCCAAACAAAACCATTCTAAAAGCCTGCATCAAGAAAATGAAAAAAAAAAAAACAACTCCTGAGGGTATTTGGCCACTGTATCTTTATGCCAAATTATATATTTTTTGGCCCAAAAATGAAGAAATTCAATCCATTTAATAAAATGGCAGGAGGAGAAGAAGAAATATGAGGGAACACAATATGTTTCACCACATAGTGTCGAAGCCATAATAAATCTTTAACACGTGGATTGATGACCGGCCTTCACACCTCACGGCCTTCAGTTGTATGGAGGTAAGGTGACTACCT